GGGGGGGCAGTGCAGGGAAGTGTTCATGATCACTCAGGATCAAAAGGATCAGTGAGTGAGGTGAGAGCAGGACGGGCTGGGAGCCCGGACACCTGCGGTCTCTCCAGCTCTGGGATGGGTCTGGCGGCTGGGGGGAGGGCAGTGAGAGATCGGGGGCTCTGTCCAGCTGTGGGAAGGGAGTGTGGGCTGGGGAGTGGAAGCAGGGGGGCTGGGAGCTAGGGGTTGAGATCACGGGGGCTCAGAGCCCGGATACCTGGGTTCTTTCTAGCTGTACGACGGGAATGGGAGCCGGGGAGTGGAAGCAGGGGGGCTGGGATCCCGGATGCCTGGGGTCTCTCTGAGAGGTAGGGCAGGAGGCAGTGCTGGATGCCCCCTCTGTGCCATGGTCCAGGAGAGATGCGGGGTCTAGCCCCAGCTAAAGAAGAGGGTCTGAGAAAGGCCAGAGGTAGCAGGTGGGGTATAAATTAATGCAGAATAACTTAGAGGCATGGGCGTGGGGGGGCAGCAAACCAGGGGTCCTGGGGCGGCTCCATGGCTCCAGGCTCAAGCCTCCGCAGGCCGCACAGGCACGTAGGTGGTGGGGCCATGTGAGAGCTGCCGCGTGAAGAAGGATGCTGTCCGCCGCGGCTTCACCCGTCGGATCTCCTGGCCTGCACCCAGGGAGAGAAGAGGGTCAGGGTGGGGCAGGGCCCAGCTCCAGGAGGGGTTCCTGGGAGCCCAGACGCCTGGGTTTTCTCCTGCTACGGGAGGGCAGAGGGGGCTGGGGGGTGAGAGCCGGGAGGGCTGGGAGTCTGGACAGCTGGGTTCTCTCCGAATCCCAGGAAAGAAGCAAGAAGCTGGGCTGCTTGAGTTCTTTCCCCACTCTAGGAGGGCAGTGGGATCTGGAAGATGGGAGCAGGGAGGGCTGGGAGCCCAGACACCTGTATTCTCTGGGAAGAGTGGGGTTGGGGGAGCCCGGACACCTGGGTTCTCCCTCGCAACAGTCTAAGTTCGAGGGGGGGTCAGCAGGGGATCAGCCCGTTTGGGTTGCCCCCTGCCGTGTCCTCACCCCGGACTCACCATCCTCCACGTAGTCGATGGTGGCCAGCTGCTGGAGCCGGCTGCACACCACGCTGTCCTGGCGCTGCAGCCGGGGGCGCGGGTGGTCGCTGGGGACTGCTCCAGTGGGAGGCTCCGGGGGTGTCACCTCCGCCCCCGCACTCAGCTCAATGCAGTACTCGATCAGGCCACTCATCAGCTCTGCCTGTGGAAGGAGGAGCATATCAGAGCTGCCCCGATCTGGGGGTGGGGGGAGGCACAGGCCTGGGAGGGCACTGGCTGAGGCCTGTCTCCTCCAGGGGCCCTGATCCAGGCCTGATCCTGGTGGGGGGGGAAGGAGTTGCGGCTTACCTGCTTGGAGTAGATCTTAAGTAGCTTGTTGACAGGGGAGCCGTCCTCGCCCTGGCCATCGAACTCGAGCCACAGCACGTGGTCACCGTTGCCGCCCGCCGCCTCCTCGGGGAACGTGTGGTCCCACGACAGCTCCTGGAAGCGCAGCCCCAGCAGCACGTGCTGCCACCGCGCACATGGACACGTGAGCCCCAATCCAGGTCCTACCCCAGGGTACCAGGCCTGATCCTGGGACATGGGATGGGGGAAAGGGGCAGGGATCTTTCACTCTAGGTGGCCCTGATCCTGGCCTGATTGGGGGCAGAGAAGTGGGGGGCACCAATGTCCACACAGGCCACCCCCCCATGACTTTAGCCATCCATGTGCAGCTCCTTGCAGGCTGCCCCAAACATGCAGCATATGCATGTCCTGGATGCCTGGGTTCTGCATGTCAATGCACACATGTCCCAGGTACCTGGGTTCTAGGCATGTGCGAATGTATCTGTGCCTAGGTTCTCTCTGCACACGTGTGCATGCATCCCCACAAAAGCTGGGTTCTCTGCATGTGCGCACAGGTATATGTCTGCATGCACGTGTCCCAGGCATCTGGATTCTCTGTGTGCGTGTGGACATGTATCGCAGACACCCGAGTTCTGCAGGTGTGTCTGCATGCAGGCGTGTCCTGGACACCTGGGTTCTCTGTGCGGGGGTGTCTGTGTCCCAGATACTTGGGTTCTGCACACGTACGTGTCTGTGCACATCAGACATCTGAGCTCTGCAAGTGTCCCAGGCACGTAGGTTTTGCATGCGTCTCCCCCAAACATCCAGGCTCTCTGTGTGTGTGTACACGTGTGTGTGTGTGCATGCATCCCACACACCTGAGCCTTTACACAAGTCTGTCCACATGTGTGTCCTGGACACCTAGGCTCTCTACGTGTGCACGTGCGTGTGTTGCTTGGGTGCATTCCAGGCACCTGGGCTGTACACATATGCATGTGAACGTGTCCCAGACACCTGGGTTCTGTGCGTGTGTCCCAGACAACTGGACTCTCTATGTGTACGCATGCATAAATATACATATGTGTATGTGCATGACGTGGGCTCTCTACGTGCGTGTGCCTACACGTGTGTTTGGGCACCTAGGTTCTCTGCGTGTGCATATGTTTCCTGGGTGTGTGTTTCAGGCACCAGAGATTTACACACATGCATGCGCTCATGTCCCAGGAACCTGGATTCTGTGTGCGTCTCAAACACCTAGGCTCTATATGTGCATGTATGCATCCGTGTGTATGCATGACCTGGATTCTCTACACACGTTTCCATGTGCATGTCCTGGACATCTAGGTTTTCTACATGCACACATGCATGTGTTGCTTGGATGTGTTCCAGGCACTGGGGCTCTACATGTATGCACAGGCACGTATCCCAGACACCTGGGTTCTGTGCATGTGTCCCGGACACATAGACTCTCTACAGGCGTGCATACGTATGTGTGTGGACATGACCTGGGCTCTCTATGCACGTGTCCATGTGCGTGTCCTGGAGACCTACGTTCTTATTATGTGCACGTGCATGTGTTGCCTGGACGTGCATTCCAGGCACCTGGGTTCTACACGTATGCACATGCCTGTTGTACACATGCAGTGGTGAGGTCTGTACCTTCTCCTTGCTGTCTACGATGTAGACACCCTCCAGGCTGATGGCGACGGACACGGGCTTGCGCCCCCCGCGGTGCAGGAAGCCCTGGGCTGGTCGGTCGATCTCCCCGGGGAAGAAGGCACAGCTGTGGAGACACACACACACGCCGCTCGCCTCGCAGGAGATAGCATGGGGGGGCGCGGCAGAAGGGGGGCCCAGACGCCTGGGTTCCACCCCGCTCGGGCACACTCACCCGTAGTAGGGCAGGCGGTGGCAGTGCTGCAAGTAGGTGTGGTGGAGCCGGCTCTGTGCCTCGGGCTCGGGGCTGGCGGCCTCGTCCCGCAGGGCCCGGAAGGCCTCGAGCAGGCCCAGCTCGGGGGCTGGGGCCCGGGTGCTGCCCCGCTTACGTAGCACTCCCAGCAGCCCCCCGCCCCGGTGGCCCCGGGGGGGTGGCAGGAACTCCCCCAGGCTCGTCCTAGAGAAGAGGGGAGTAGCGAGGCCAGGTGAACCCCAGATGCTCCAACCAGGGACCGCCAACCCCCACACACAGGTCCCCCCTTGCTTCCATCAGACCCCGCGTCCCCCATCCAGGTCTCTCCTTTATCCCCTTAACGCCCCCCGTCACCCACAGCCAGCCCCCTCCCCGCATAACCCCTGGCCGGGGGGGATGAGAGTGAGGAGCCAGGACTCCTGGACTGTCTCCAGCTCTGGGAGGGGAGTGGGGGCTTGGGTCCCCACCTCAATGCCCCATTGTCTGGGCTGGGCCAAGCCACCCACAGAGGCCACGGGACAAAGCGCGATTGTCGGGTCTGGCTGCATTCCTGGGGTGGGACGGGGCTGCGTGGGGCCTGGTGCCTCCCCTGCCCCAGATGCCTGGGAGCCCGGACGCCCGTGTCCTTCCTCCAGCTCTGGGAGGCGAGTTGGGTCTGGGGGACAATGGGAGCCCGGGCGCCCGGGTTCTCCACCCCCCCTCCAGTCGCTTACTTGAGGGCGCCGGGCGTGTGGCGGTCGGGGTCGTAGGGCCCCAAGGTGAGGCGGCAGGCCAGGGCACCGAGCTGCTCGCCGTCCTCGGGGTCGCAGGGGTAGCGCCCCTCCAGCACGTTCAGCTTGGCCTCCTCATACCGCAGCGGCAGTAC